CATTAATATTCTACTCTCAGCACAATTGGCACAATGGGCTAAAATCTCGGCCCACATAGACATGACACATCAAATAAAACTGTCTATGTAAGCAGAGATTTCAACCTACTGTGACCCGCTCCAACGCAAGTTTTGTAACCGCGGCCTAAAAGTGGAAGAACCTAGTTCTTTTCATAGGTCTTATTTTCTATCTAGTGTAAAAAATCAAAAAAGTTGCAAAATTCACATGTGTAAAGATAACTCTATTGAAAAGAACTTACTGGAAATTCTCCCTCATTTCTCTCTCCAAGTCGGTAACCTTGGTTCGCTCCCTGTCCAGCAGCTTGTAGAGCTTGGCGTTGGCGAGCTGGTCCGCGCGCCAGGCGGCCTGCAGCGCGCGCACCTCGCCCTCCGCCTGCTCCACCTCTGTCTCCAATGCTGACCTCTTCTTTGTCTTCTCTTCTAATTGACTTTTCAATGTACTGGTGGAAAATATTAACACAGATAAAATTATTGCATCATCATAATTTTATCTGTGGTACTCCAGAGAATATGAATACAAAATAGAAAGGCTACAACCAAAATAAACTAAATAACAAGCAAATACTGATTAACTTACGCAATTACACTACTTTCGCCTCCAACCTCTTCCTCCATCCTCCGCAAGGATGCCAATAGCCTTTCACATTTCTCATTCTGTTTGTCATGCTGTGTCTGGATGTTATCCACCTCTCGTTCAAGTTCCGCCACCTCACTCCAGTAATATTCATTTTGCAAAGCCTGCTTTTGTGCCTCAATCTCGTCACGTGATTGCATCTGTTCATAGCTTGTTTTCCATTTTTGGTATTCTTTTTCCAATTCTGCACAGGCCTATAATTGTGATAATAATCAGAGACTTTAACAATGTAGTAATAACCTAAATACACAGAAATTGTAATATTTGGGATCATTTAAAGTTTTTGTGAAAGTTTTCAAACTTTTCTTATGAGCTAAGTTACATAACAAATAACTAAATAGTTTAAATACAAATTATAACATATCTTTTAATTTGACATACATCATTTTTCCTATTCCAGATAGAGACAGCCTTTTTGCAGTTTTCAAGCGATCTCAAGTAATTCCCTTCAGTTTGATCGAGATTTGTTGCTTTACGGAACAAAGAGTATATCTTTTTAGCATCTGAGGCATGGAAGCTGCGCGCATCATCCTGATTGAGCACAGAAATGGGATTGTCCACTTGAATATCGTGAGCTAGTATTATAGCGTTTACTTCTTCAAATTTAGTTGAAATTATTTCCCCTGTAAAAATATTAAAGTACTCAAAGATTAATAAAATTGAAAAGTTTACCATCTTCATCAGTGGATAATTACTTGTTTCACTAAATTATACCTGTGGCAGATTTAACTTTGTAGCTAGAGCCACCTGATGCATTTATATTCCTAACTATAGTAATATAATCCCCATATATGTTGTGCTTGTAGGCTTTTGGACTGCTGTTCTTAATTTTTATTTCTACTGTGGCTGAATTGCAACCTTTCTTGATAAATGCTGAAAGAAAAAAGTGGTCAATTACATGTAATTAAAACTTTTAACTGTGATATTTGCATAAACTTACAATGCAAGTTGTTCCCACGATTTGTAGCTGACGCTCTACCTCCTAAGCCGACAACTAAAGCCGTAAGAATAGCACTTTTGCCACTACCATTACGACCAACAATAAAGTTCACGTTTCTGTTTAAATTTATTTCCAAATTCTCGTGACAGAAGAAGTTACGAACGTGTATACTATGAATTGAACCATCAACATCATCTACTGCATCTTCGTCCATATTTTTTAACTTGCAGTATTAAAATCAACTTTTAACCATGTTCGGTATTTTAACCAAAACCTTTTTTATATTTTATATAATTTCAAGTTACTATTTGAAATATAGTTTCAATCTCTAGTGAATATAAATTCATAAAATTGTATAAAACTGTATTGTTAATCAATAACAAACTTGAATAAGATAAAGATAAACAAACTGTTTTACGCTTTTAACGTTAAGCGCGCAAAGCTATGACAGTTAATAGATGTTATTCAAAGTGACACTGACGTATGAAAACTTGCCACGCCCAGAGCTTATGGCAAATAGAAAAATTAATTAAGTTTATTTATAAATAGTTGTGCTAATTACGTGTATTTGTTATATTGTGTTATAACCTACTATTGAAACTAAAAACGCGTTAAAGAAAAATGATTGTAATATTAACAAATGATCTATACACTATTATAGTGGTAACACCCATAATAACGCCATTTTTGATTTGAAGAAAATCACGAACGAGAGCTATTTTATTTGTTATCGACATTTTCTAATTATAACGGTCGCAATTCTTTGATCGGTATTTTCCAACAGTACTTTATCTTATCATCTGTATTTTAAAAGGAACGTGACCTTATTATCGAAAGACTTAAGGTAAACAATTATGTTAGGACTCATACTGCAACTGTCATTATTAACTCGTATATTTTACCATGTGTAAAGTATTGTATGTTGTATGTTATTGTGCATCAATATCCTGTAAATAACTTGATTTCATTGACGAAATAGTGATATCGATGAAATTAAATGGACAAAGATAAATTGGCATTTTGAAAAATAGGGTAAACAAAACAAAGCCTCACGACACAGCAACAATTTCTTCCATAAAGTGTTAGTTAAAGACTAAATAATTGTATTGATATTTCAAAAACTCAATATTAAATAATATTCTCTCTAAAATAGTTTCATAGTATGATGACAATGACAAATTAAATTTGTGTTTATGTTGTACCTACATGTTATATAAACATTATTACTTTTTTTGCGTTAAGTAATAATTCAAATCTCTTTGTTGCAGTTTTCAAAGATGAGTGATTCAGCTGATCAAAACGAGCCACCGAAGGATGTAAGTTTCATATAATCTTTGAACTGTTTTTCTTTGTTAGAATTCTTTTGAATTATTCATTTATTTCAGCCGAAGGAAGTGGAAAAACTGGAGGAAGCTAAGCTAAAAGCTAAGTTTCCTAATGCTATATTGGGTAAAGGGTCTGGAGGACATTCTGCTTTTCTTCAAAAGAGATTAGCTAAAGGGGTGAGTAAAGATCTGCAATTGAATTTATCTTTTGGTTTGATAATTACTAAAGCAAAATTATGTTTTAAATATATCTTACATTTTCAGTAAGTTTAATTTCTTTTGCAGCAAAAGTTTTTTGATTCCGGAGATTACCAAATGGCGAAACAAAGGCCGAGTAATCTAGCAGGTCCATTCAAAGCACCAGCTGTGCCAGCCAAGTTGCCAACGGGAGATGCCATCCCAACGCCCGACACCGTCCCACTAAGGAAGACATCTATCATACAGCCGAAGTTCCAGGCGCCGAGTCAGACCTCCTAGCCTCACAGGACAGAGGCAGCCAGCCCTTAATTTTAATTTCAACTTTTTATTTTGCTATTTCATGTCACTATGCAATTGCTTTTAATCTGTATAAGTTTGAACCCTTTGTGGGTATGTAGACATCTCAATATTTTCGCAAACTTGATGTCTTCATTGTGATTTGAAAAATAGTATGTATGTTAAAAAGCTAAAACTTTTATAAGAACAACTGTTATATTTATGTATACAATTTAGATAGTAATATTAGTAGAGTTGAGAATGTATGTATTTTTGTGTTGAAATTTATGCTGGTAGTATATAATGTTCCAGTCACTTCATACATACTCATACTTTGAAGTAACTAAAGAAACAATTTATTTTTAATACTGTTTAGTGGATACATGGTTTTTAACTAATTTAAAAATATTAGTTCTCAATTATTATTTTTTTGTAACTCACTCCTAGTTTTTTTTTTTTCAATTTGAAGGAAAATGTATGTCAGTTTGCATGAAACAGAAAAGTTAACTAAAAGATATAAAATCATATTTTAAGATGTTTCAGGTCAATGTTTCAAAACTCAAATTAGCACATTTTCATATTGCTATTTTTTTAAACTCTGCATATTTTGTGCCATCATGATATTTGAACTTTAAAATTATGTCAAATCTCGTCATGTCCTTGTCCTTTTTCATTATGTATTAATTTTTATATTTCATTGTCTTTCACGTGCTTCACATATAAGACGCAATTGTAAATTCGGTAAATCATTATTTTTGTAATTCTCCGCTTTTGTTAACCTTGTACTATGTAAATAAAGCCATACTTATTGAATATAAAGTGATGTAAATGTAAGCAAATGGTGTAGGTTGTGCTCTTTTGTAACATTTGTGGGTACTTAGTAAAATGAAAAATCCAATTAATAATTAAACAGTTTATTATTGTAATTTAACACAGACTAATTAAAATAACGAATCGTTACAATACATAACACTTAAACAATTACATTGTTAATCTGTTTTTGCGATTAATTTGTGATATGATTTTTACTGCTTTACTCGTGGCATAGAAACCGCAATGTGTTACGCACGGGAGTGATGCAAAGGGAATGTTGAGAGTTAGTTGTAATTAATAATAAATTCTTATAAGAAATTTTTCATTTTTTGTCACCTACCAACCAATAATAAGATCTAGGCTTTTAATAAAATGAGATTTAGTCACTGACATACAATAAGACAGGCTAGAAGCTATTGTGCCGATTTGTCTTTCTTCATTTTGAGGATAATGTCTGAACAAAGCAAATACGTAATTTTCAACTAGTGACCTGTCCAGATAGGTCAGTGGACTTGGAGGATTCTTATGCATAATTAACGTTTTTGAGATTACAGTATTACATGGCACTTTATTAAAAAATACGACAGAGATTCTCCGAGTAAAACTTTCACTTGGTTCCGCTATCCTTTGGAATGCTTACAGCAAGGGCTACCTTACCACCACATGGAGTCTCCTTGTATGTGGCCTTTGTTATATTTGACTGCTCTCTGTAAACAGAGTTTAATATAATTATGTTACACACAACAAGATAGTTTGCATTGAAAAGACTCTAGACACTATTGAACTGATTTCAAAAATTCTTTCGCTGCTAGAAAGCTACATTATCACTGAATAACAGACAATTTTTACAAAAATAGGAAGATTATGGATGACAAAGAAGGTAAATTGCCATTCTGGCAAAGCTAGATTGATATTTAACACACTATTAGGTTTTAGTTATTTATTATTTACAAACCAGGATTCCAATGCACATAGTCTGGTGTGGCGGCCGCCTGGTACTCCTGCACGAGGTCGTCGACCACACCGCGAGACTCATCGAACTCCTCCAATGATTCCTTAAACATGGGCTCTTTTCGGAACACCTCGAGGAAAGCTTCTCGTTTGCGCAATTTATCGAACTGTTGGAGACATCTGTCGAATAGCTGCAAACAATGTATCAGATACATATGTATTGCTTAATAAATCATTCTATCTCATAAATATTGTAAATACTACAATGATATTAGAATACATAGGCTACTTATTTTTGTTTATTTAATCCAGCGCAGACGGTATTGCGCTAAAAGCAAGCACATTATAAATATATACATTTTACTTACAAAACATAAGGTCGAAATATATACTTACGGAGGAAATGTTTGTGTGGTTGGCCAACAATAATCCCGACACTTTATGCGAGGCGTGCACGTAAGGCGAGCGTCGTGAGAGCGCCACTTGTATAGAGGCAGGCCCCCATGGGATGAATGAGGCCAACTTCCGCTCCCTGATGCGCTGCAGTGACTTGTGCACTTGCGACGGGTCCACTTCACCCTGGAGAATTACATATTAAAATTAAAAATGACGCACTTCTTTGTTATGCACGAATTCAGCAATAACAGCATATTTTTGACATTAACATGAAACATGGGCGATGCCAGTCGTTGATCTGGGCTCCTATTATACCTTGTAATGAATGATACACCATGTAAATATTTCATATTGTAACAATGACTAACAAGTATTAAAAATAAACAATATATTACCTGTATAATATTGAGTATAGATATGTAGCAATGCTGATTTGTGCGGTCAGGGCTAAGTGAGACCATCATATTCTTTGGCTGCAGCAATCTTTGCATTACATCTAGTACTGTCGTTTTTCTAATCTTTGGTGCCTACAACAAAATTTTCACCATCAATTTTTACTGTATAGCTAAATTTCAGTAAATAAAACTGACAGTTAAATGTGTAGAATGATTAAAGCCCGCTATAGACATTAACAGAAAAGTGGAACTGTTCAGATAACTGTAAGTAGAACTAGAATTTTTATTAAACTGTTTATCTGTTTGGTTAAAACCAAGTCTATGTAAAGGACTAATAATAAATGCACTATACTAAAAGAGCTTCGACCAACACCTCAAGAAGCTCTCGCTAGACAGTTGGATTAAGGGCCCGATTCAAAAGGCGGTTATTTTAGAAACCGCACGAATAGTGAGGAGGTTCCTGTCTCTGCAGCCCTGACCACTGGTTGCTTGAGTCATCGGATTCCGCAGCCGGTGGACTTCTATTTTTTATATAATATGTTTTAGATTGTAATTTTTTTTAATAAAAAATCATGTGAAATATGTTACATATAAAAATAAGAAAATAAAGATATGAGATTAATGCACTATACTAACAGTGTTGAGTTCATGATCAGCTGTGAGTGGAGTGTACCCCGTCATAAGGAAATGCAGACGCGGCGTGGGGATGAGGGGCGCCACCAGGCTGATCAGGTCATTGTTCATGTACGATGGATACCTAAAATTTATATTATTTAGAATTAATTTAATCCAAATTAATTAATTCTGCTAAAAGGAACTAAAACACATACAGAAGTTTAAAAAGTCTGGTTTAATAAGTGTTTTTTAAGCAGATCAAAATTAATAAATTATAGAATAAATAATTGTCAAAATATTGTTCCTAAAACTTTAACAAAAGTGCTATTAATATTTTATTACTTGTAGTAAATTTCAAGTGTAATTGAAACATTTAAGAAAATTTATTTTATGTTATAGTAAGGAATATTTCTTTTTTTTTACCTTAGTGTAGCAGTACTGGCACTCATTATAGTAGACACTAAAGTGTTGATCTGTGCAAATGAGGGGTTCTGTATGTGCAGCCGGTCACTGGCGATTCGGTTGAGAGCCGTGTTGTCCAGCACCATCACACAATCCGCACTCTCCGTTAAACGCTTCAATGTAAGCAATGAGTTATATGGCTGAACCACTACATCACTGAAATAGAAATAAAAATGTGTAAATACCTTATAATGATTATCTAGGATTTTTTAACATTAACAAACATGTGAACATTCAGCTTCAGCAAAAAATATATTTAATCAATATTGCACAATCCTGACAAATTTCTTTTACTTTTGATAAAATATTTTCTACTATATGCTTTACCTTATTTCATCAAGATTAGGGAAGACACTGTAAGTCTGTACCAGCTTTTTGGGAAATCTGTCTGATAAATGTTCCAATATATAGGAACCCATTCCTGACCCTGTGCCACCAGCAATTGAATGACAGAGGACAAATCCCTGAAAATATCAATATTTAATTACAAACTGTGGAAAAAGAATAAACAAGAAAAAGTTGAATTCAACAATTTTAAAAATTTACCTCTAAATTATCACTACCATCTGCTTCTCTGTTAATTATATCAAATACTTCCTCATTGAGTTTCTCTCCTTGTGCATATCCTGATGCCCAGTTGTTGCCCGCACCTCCACCGTGTTTTGATAAATAAACATTTTCAGGATTATAAAGCTACAAAATCGTGTTTATCAGACAAAAATTAAGACATCAACAGAAGCAGAAATTTTAAAATTCTACCTTAGCATATGGTGAATTCATAATTGTATGGATAACTCGAGGTTCCAAGTCGAGCAAAACAGCGCGCGGTATATAATGATCGTCGTCTGCTTGGTAGAAGAATACGTCTTTCCGATCCGACCCTGCAGATGCGAACTCCTCCAAAATGCCCTCTGGAGATATGCCATGTTCGATGCACAGTTGTTTCCAAAACTCGAAGCCGACTACGTTAAAAAGGTATAATTTGAAAGTAACTGAATAGTAAACAAAACGGCACTTTAATTAAATCAAATATCTTACTTTGATTTCCGCATTGACCAAGTTGCAGAGTTATCATTTCACTCGGCATTTTTATCTTCTTTAGATCCTTCCTTTTCTTTAGCAAAATTTATAATAATCCAATCTAAAGTTAATTTATTATGCCTGCCACAGTTCGTTGTTTTCTCATTTATTATTTGTTTAAATTTTATTATTCCTACATGATTTGATCAATGTCAAAAGCTTCATTGTTATTGGCCTAATTTGACAAGATGTCTTATTTTCACCAATGGGAACAAATTCAAACCACCATTCAATGAATCGGAGACAACAGATAATAAAACATCTACATTTTAACATTTTACGATAAATAAATCAATAAAATGTATCTTGCAGATCACCGCTATCACTTTAGATTTTTTTTTCTAATTCCTAATTTCAATTTGCATTGAATATCCATTAAATAAAAAGTACTTGTGTCAGAACAACTGTGTTTTTTTTTATATAATACGTCAAATATCTTTTGTCTTTGACAAAAAAAAATATAAAAGTCAAAATCAAAATAAAAAGTTTTGTCGCGGATGGTAGCGAAGTTTTTTTTTAAAGCGATTTAAGCTCAATTTAATTAGTTATTAATGATAGAGAATATTATGTAAATCCAAATAGACCAATTAATTGAATACCATATTTTCTAAAGTGGTAAACCAATATAGTTACTCCTACGAGTTGAAGTTAAAGACAAACTTTTGAACTTGATGGCCTTCACGTTAAATATTTCTCAACTTTGTTCAACCTACGGATTATGTGAGAATTGCTTAGATTAGGTCATTTAAGGAAGGAGACGAAACTTAGAGTTTTTATTTTACATTCTTCGGCTCGGTATAAGTGTGTTTCAAGTACTTTCTAGTGGAATTGCTTCCGTGTAACAATCTGAATTACGACATTATTCTTCGCATGTTTTATCCTCATATATTTACATACATCAATCACTTCTATTATTGTGTACACTAGAGCGTAGCATTGGTATTCCATATTTGTCGTATTCACGATTATATTCATTGTAAAATACAGAAGTTGACAAAAATGCCAAGGAAGCTGTTGAAATTTTTGATTGTGTTTGATAACACATCATTGTTATACTTTCCGGGTCAGTTTCTGTCTGGGAAAGTGTTAATGGAATTGCAAGATGATACACCAGTGTTAGGTGAGTATTTACTTTATTTTTACTTAAATAGAAATAAAAGTAGAAGTTTTATATACATGTTTTCATTATATCTCTCAGGTCTACATTTCCATGTTATTGGCGAAGGTGTAGTGCGAGTGGGCTCAGGGCGACATGAGCGATTGTTTGACAAGGAGAATTATATTGATTTTAGGATGCGTCTCCTTGGTGAATCAGGTAAAATAACACATAATTTCATTGTTATATTCTAATCCTTATAAATAAATTAAGATAAACGTAATACTAAAAAGTGTTATCAATTCAATAGGTCATACACCATCTTTACTGTCTCCGGGCATTCACAGTTTTCCATTTAAACTTGGTCTGCCAATGGGACTACCATCAACATTCCTGGGCACTCACGGCTGGGTCCAGTACTATTGTAAAGCAGCATTGAGAGAACCAAATGGCTTAACTCATAAGAATCAGCAAGTTTTTATTGTCATGAATCCCATTGATTTGAATGTAGAGCCTCCTGTGTTATCTGTAAGTATAAATTTATGTAAAGCTTAAAAGGTGAAACATTAAATAGTTTAAAATTATTTTATAAACCATGTTTTATAAACTAAGCATTTTTTAGTTTTCTTCCTTGAAGTCATTATGATTATTCCACTTTACAGTATTGAGGACAAAGTGAGATATAGAAAATATATTTTTTAACTTAATTTGAAAGGTCCAATGTGATTAACAATTGATTTTAAAAAATCTACTTAACTAATTTAAACAAGAATATGCGACATTTTGATTTCAATGTGTTGGTAACATATTTTTTTTTACTAACAAAGACTGCATTGAATTAAGAGTTAATGTACTTTGCAGCAAGAGTTAGAATGCAGTATTGAGCACCGGGTGGGCGTGGGGTGCGTGGGCGGCGGCGCGGTGGCGTGCAGCGTGGCGCTGGACCGCGGCGCCTACGTGCCCGGCGAGAGCATCGCGCTCTCCGCACGACTTGTTAACAATTCTCGCACCGCTATCAAGTGCACGCGTGCCGCATTAACTGAGGTCAGTTCTATAGCACCAAGGTAAAATACTCCATACTACTGTTTGCTTGTGACTTCATCATTAAATTAAAAAAAAATAGCCTATGTTAGTCATAGATAAATTACCTTTCTAATGTTAAAAGTATTTTTGAAAATTAGTTCTTCCGTGAATGAAATATATAAAAAAATACAAATCTTTCCTCTTTATAATTTTAGTATAGAAATAGATTTAAGTTCAGAAGGAGATATTCAGGAATTGAACCTTTGAGTATTACATATACAGTTGTGGTCAATTCTTTTATTTCCTTATAAAGCTAATTAATTTTTAATTTACCAAAACATAGATAAATGACTATATCTAGGAAGCCTTATGTCCAGTTTTAGATGGTTATGGTGACTGTACTTGTACAGTAATTGTGCTTGTAGACTATCCAGTACTGCGCGCACGGCAAGGTGGCGGCGAAGGAGGTGCGCGAGCTGGCGACGCTGCGGCACGGCAAGACGCGGCCCGGCGGCAGCGACGTGTGGCGCCGCGAGCTGCTGTACGTGCCGCCGCTGCCGCCCACCAACCTGCGCGGCTGCCACCTCATCGCCGTGCACTACGACGTCTACGTCAGTATACTCTTCACATACACACCGCGACCCGACATATTTTTTTATATCATAAGGTAGCAAACGAGCAAGCGGCCACCTGATTTCGCCAAAATGGCGAAGCGACCGCTGCCCGTAGACATCCGCAATGGGGATGTTTCCTAATGTTACAAATCCAAATAAAGTTATGTTTAATATTTTAAAGACAGCATTTTATAACCTATAATAACATTTAGTGACCTTGAATGTTTGTCTCAAATTAAATATAAATTAAAAACGCTGCAATATTTTTTACCCTCCATTACTCGATCTCAAACACCAATGACGTCACTTTCTCGCATATAACATGGCAGTGTGACCAACTTCAGTAAATGTCAGTGCATTTTGTAGTTATATATTTTTTTAAATGATTATAAGAATTGAGTTTTCGTGTGTTATATTATGAGGACTCCATTATTAAGTGTTTTTATATTTACGACATATTTTACGAGCAAATTTTCGATTAATATGACGAAAAAAATTGTAAAAGTTATTTGAGTAGCTAATATTCAAATTTGACAGACCGCGACGCGAGGTTTGTAAGCAAGAAAGTGACGTCATGAGGCGTTTTCGCGGTCTTTGGAGAAGTTGTTTTTAGTTAAGTGTTTTTGTAATGAAATGTTGCGTATACGATTTTATTATATTTTTTTTTCATATTCAGATACGGTTTATCTACATAATAAAAGCAATTCTAAAAATTAGGAAACATCCCCATTGCAGATGCGCTACCTACCCTTATCCGACAGAAGACGAGACGAACATAAATAGGATATTTCTGCTTCAAATCCACTGTCCCTTCCCATCCTCTCCTTATAAGAAAATGGTGGTAAAGACAAAGGGACTTAAATTAGGCCTCCGGCAACATACTCGTCAGACGAAACACGGAATTGTTTCCATTTGACGCCTGTCTTCTGTGTGGTCGTGGTATTACTGGGGGCGAGCCGGCCCTGCAGTGCTAAGATGTTAAAGCGGGCACTACCACTGTCAAAAGTTTAATTACTAACAATATTGAAGAGATAGATACTAGGTACTCGATTTTTGTTAAAGTTATGTAATAAAACTAGATATTTTTTTTTAATTATCCTAGTAGCATGCTATTTTCGGGTTACGTAATTATTTAAATGGATTGTTAATGTTATTTTTTTCTTCGCATATAGTCGCAATATCCGATCCTAGAGTATTACTTTTGTCTCACCCTCTGTATTATGTTAAGACAATGAATCGAGTTATTTGAACAATTACTGTGATGAAGTTAATTGTAAAATGTCGTGTGAAAGTCACATGAAGAGTCTATTGTTTATTATGAAATAGAAGTTCTTTGTTTATTGTTATGTTTTAGCCAAATGTATTCTTTTTTCCTTAATCTACACTTAGGATGGCCTCTAGTATTCTTAAATTCAATTTGCTAGATAAGAACTTCAAGCTTAATATAGTCTTTTGATATTTCCAGTTCATAATAGAGCCGAAGAGCCTAGAGAAGGAGGTGAAGCTGCAGCTGCCGATAGTGCTGGGTACGTACCCGTTCCGCGAGCGGGAGGAGGGAGAGGGCGAGGGCGCGGAGGGTGCGCCGCAGCCGCCCACGCACTACCCCACCACGCTGCCCGTCTTCCGCGCCTGGCTGCACGACAAGCCGCGCTGACCACACCTCCCCCCCACACTCACCACACCTCCCCCCACACTCACCACACATACCATACATGAGGGGTATAAATGCAAATATGCTTGTCTTTTATTTAATACTAGGTATACCAAATTGTTTAACAAGCAACAATGTCGTATACGTAGTTATAAATATTGAAAAGTATGGATTGAAGCGTATTTGCTTTAATACCTTATGCTGATATAATCAAACATTCCATTATTTTTTAAATTTCAATTTTGCTCAATGTAGAGCTTTAAATTTGTCCGTATTGGTATTTTTTTGCTCTTCAAGGGAATTACTGAGTTTTACAATAATATTCGTATATGTACTTAAGTATACTCTATGTTTTACATTCGACAAACATATCAAATTAGTCTAATAAAAACATTAATTACTTCGCCATTTTACTAGGGCGTGAAATGCAAAACATTTTATTTTTTTATGTAATAAATATTAAAATTTATTAACATGCTTTATATACCTTGTAAGCGTTTGTAAAATGTATTCTTAGATTTAAGTTAATTAAGAGAACTATGAATGCAATAAAAAAATTTAAATATTTTTTTACTTTTGTATACTGTTTTTTGCAATTTCTTACTGATTATATGTCAACGATCAATCATAAATTGTTTGTTTTGGATGTCTGTCCAATTGAAACGGTAGTTTAGTTTTTTTTTTCGAATATCCTGTGTGAAGTCGAGGTGCACTGCTAGTAATTTAAAATGATTTTTAAAAAGATGATAAAGTGCTTTTTTACATTTTTATGGATGCTGTTATATTTTATAAATGGTGCCATTTATTGTTAAATTAAAAGTGGAATTTTCGCTTCAAAATTCAAATATGATTGTTGTTACTTAGATTATTGGGTACTTTCTGATTTTTGACAGATACTATATTGAGTTTTAGATTTTGAAATATTTACTTTGCTTGTTTACATGTCAATGTATTAATTTTATGATATATCAATTTACAATACTTTTTCTTTTGTAAAATTAGTTACTGGTTTTTTTTTAATTGAAAATTGCAATTTTATAGTGTAAAATTTATGTTAAAAATTTCAATGTAAACTAACCTGTGATATATCAAACCGTCCATTTTATCTAGGAACTGTATGATGTAATAAAATTTTGTATACCTATTACAATGTCTTTTTTTTTTTCGGAGTAATAACCTATTCTTTGTAACTGAACAGTATAACATTTACGTAAAAAATGTAAATTATAAGGGAATATCAATAGGAAGTAATTAAAAATTCAGTTACCCATAGTACATATTTTATTCAGCACTGGATATTTTTTTAAGATTTAAAAATGTTAATGGATAAATACGACTGTAGCCATCGTACTATGCGGTCAATAGATTAAGAAAAGCTTTAAGATAATATCTAAGGTATTGCAGAAAATGCTCACAATTTACTTCGATTATTGTAATTTTATGAGTATTTTTTACAGTTGGCAACACTGATGACACTGGTATACATATTTCCATCTACTTCACTCTTATTGAATAAGACAGAGATAACAATACAAGTGTCACGACCGTTGTAATTCACAATTGCGAAAAGATTATTTCGTTTTTTATAAACATTCGATTTATTTACAAATTGATACATTTTGTTGAGCACTTTCTAGTACTTCATGTATTTCTTTGCGTGTTGTTTCTATATTTATTACCAACCATAAATATATTTTTTGTGATACTACACTAATTATTACAAAAATCATTCAGTTATTTAATAATCCTACAGTATGTTTACTAGTAAAACATAATAGAAATAAATTTATAAAAGATGAAATGTGTTTATACAATAATTCTGCGGAATGAGAGCATTAATATTCAGTATTGATTGTTTAAAAGCAGTTTGTGTCTGCCATTAATACGAATTTTATATAAGATATCTACATCAGCACAAGTTCATCACTATTGGGAGCTATTTATGTAACCTATTTGTAGTTGTATATAGAGTAGAACCTCAATAAGTTAAAGTGCAAGGGAAACACAAAATATTTTAAGTTATAGAGGTTTTAAGTTATCAAGGGTCTATGTTGTAGAGGTTTTGAGCTCTGATGGGAAGGGAACATAATATTTTTTGAAGTTATAGGGCTTTTTCAGTTATCGAGGTCCTACTATATTAAAGACAGTCTCGCAGGATGATTGATACATTTGGCCCAATGAGATTTTTTTCCCAGTACACCGTTCTAACGGGAAACAGCCATCTTACATTACACAACTCAAAGTTTGCATTTGGATAATGCCGGTTAGATCTAATAGCGTCCTGGGGAAGATTATGGTGCTATTTTTAGAGGAGGAGGTAAAATTCTCGCTAGCTAAAGTTGCGGAGACCATAGCCCCCTTACTACTACTAGGGGGAAGGTTTAAGTGTTATATGAGAGTAATTCTCAGACCTTTGGCGCTCTGAGCGGCCCAATTTCGCCCTAATATGTCACTGACTGGAATCTTTCCCACTGAAAACTGGTAATCACTAAAATGTTTTTTTTTAGTATACATCTGTTGTATAGAGCTACATTATATCATGAACCCTTAAATGCAAGATGATGCATTTATACATCAGTCTTCTCTTCCACACCCAATAGATTATTTAATATAAAAAAAAATCTTTATTTTTTCCTTGATCTTTGTCCAATTTACTACTCGTTTCAATTTAGGGTATTTAAAAAGATAAAGTTATGCATTTAAGGGTTAAGTTGGTGTTACTTTGAGTATGTATGGTGTATGTGACTGCTAGCGCGAGTGGGAGGGGTGGGGGAGAGCTGTGTGGGGGAGGTTCGCGAGGTCTCAGGCCATCTTGTTGGCGAGCGCGTGGTGCAGCGAGGCGAGCTGCGCGGTCCACTTGTCGAGCGCGGAGTAGCGCGCTGCGCCCTGCGCGCCGCTCGCCAGCTCCAGCACCGCGTTCACCTGGTCGATGCGGCCGCTGATCGTGCTGCACACACGAAAAAACCCTTTATTCATATACTAGCAAGTCCTAATTAGCCCAAACCCCTCGGGATTCCTACCCTAAGTTAGGGATGACAAGACGCCAGTCAACAACAGCCTAATGCATTTTGAATTTCTTCACAGATATGCATCACGATGCCTTCATCATAAGTCGCACAAATTTTTATATTAAATTTGGGACAAAGGGCCAAATGCAAATAAATGTTAAAGTTATGATGTAAGATTGTTAGAATAAAGAATGTTCTAAATACTCACTTGTCCAAAATACACGTAACTAGTAAATTCTCGACCTCCTTCTCGTCAATATTCAGCTCCTTTGAAATAAAAGGTATATGTATCCTGGTGTATGGTCCGATCAGTTTGATGAGTACTTGTGTGCGGATGTTCCTCAGTAAATCTTCAATGTGCTCCCGGATGAACGGATCATCCATTATATTATTCCTGTTGTGTTTGAGGATGGACTCAAAGTCGTTGATGTCATTATTCTGGTATGCCATAACGAGGTTCGTCATAGCGAGGATCTCTGGATCATTCTTGTAAGGCTTCGCTTCTTGGGAGTCGAACGGATTTATACCGGATTTCATAAGCCTAAAATAAATAAAGCAAAGATGTATTTAACAATTATAATAAAAGTTTTGACAGTTTGCTTCGAATTCTATAAAAGCAAGCAATTTAAAAACATTTATTTATTTCCAGTTCCTCTTCAGTTTAAAGGTAACCGCTAAGTTGAAAAACCAAGAGATAACTCTTTTATTACTGTTTTTTTATTTTGTGTGAAAAAGTTTGATAAATGTATACAAACATGTTGGCGAGCACGAGGTACTTGAGGCAGGTGGTGCGGCGCGGGCTGCCTGACTCGTCATAATTCTTGAAGGCTTCGAAGAAGTCCGTGTGCGCCTTCTCGAACTCACCCTCGCGGAGGTGCATCTTGCCTCCGCACTCTGACAACATGACACACTTTAGATAACACTACTCTAACACATTGCATCACTGAGGAGTTCACATAGGGAAAGACGTGTTTAAAAAGAAATAATTATTAATGCTATCATTCTTATATTTTTTAACATTTAAAAATAACCAAAAAACTAGATCATTCAGCTATGTATTTGCTACTATAAAATATAAAGTACAGTACATAAAATTAGTAGACATGTGAAATAAATTATAAAAACTTTGTTTATCAAATCTCAGTATACCTCTAATAACGCCCATGATGAGTGGATGTGGTATAGCAGACTTGATATGCAGAGACTGTTCATAGAGGGCCTTTAGCTTTTTATTGTTCTTCTGTGCTGTATACATCTGGATCTCCAGAGCGTATATCTCCAGCAACTGAGTGCCCTTCTTCAGATCATCTTCACCTTCATCTGTCTATAATTAAAATTTCTCTTTTAATACAATTGTCCAATACATTTAAGAATAACTTCCGCCCTTGACTCCTTCTCCTGACAATGTAGCTTATGTGTTCGCCAGCATAGATGTCTGTGCTAAATTTCATTGAGATCTGTTAGCAGTTTAGACACATCCATCCATCCACACATTCACATATAATATTAGTAAGATATCTACAAAATTTCAATAAAAATTAATTTTTAATAAGACTTGCATGTGATCGTAATTTTTTGGGATGTTAGTAAATTTAATGATCAATAAATACATCCACTTACTTGACAACTCTGGTGCAACTGTTTCAATATCTTGGCCAGTTTGTTGAAGTCACCTCGGTCATAGTACAGCTTGCCCAGCTTTGTGTTTGTCTTGAACCACAGCCTGTCATTCTTTGCATCCTTCAGCGCCTCCAATGTTGTCTCATAGAAGTCTTGTAGTAACTCCATCTGTTGATTTCATGTTTACATAATAAAATGGCATATTATGCAAAAATTTGTTAAAGGGCTTTGTAGTTTGTTTATTATAATATGAGGAGGCAAACGAGCAAGCAGCCAACTGAATCCACTGAAATGGAAAGCGACCACTGCCCATAAACATCTGCAATTGCAAATGCGTTGCATACCCTTTATTGACGGAGGAAGAGATGCACATAAATAGGACATTTCCCAACCTTCCCTCTTAAAAAAACAGTGGAACGGGACTAAAATTAGGCCTCCAGCATCAGACGAAACGCGGAATTGCTTCCACTTGACGCCTGTTTTCTGTGTGGTTGTGGTTTACACCAGACGAGTGGACTCATTCGTGCAAAGATGTTAACGCGGACTACCACTGTTAGTTACCAAATATAAACAAATTAGTCACATATTTGCATTTGTACTTACATTTCTAGACGTAGATATATAGTCCAGTATAGAGTTGATTGATTTTTCTGAATGATTCCGTGTCACTGCACTTTTGATGTATGTTAGGAGTTGCTTGTAACGAGACATCATTTCTGTGAAATTTCCCTGAAAAAATTAATGTTTAAGCCTCTTTCGTCATTAAATTCTTGCTACTACTAATTATTATGGATTACTGATTTTTTTTTTATTATTTGTTAAGCTATCGCACCTGAAAGAAGATGATGCAGTCAAAAGATAGTATGCGCTAGCTTAATTGTGGCTGTTCACTCTCTTTTTAACTTTTTTACCTTGTCACCAATGGCAAAATAGAACTTTTTGCAATACTTAGTATAGTTCTTACTATGTCTGGATTGAATTATGAAACTTACCAACTTAAAGTTAATTTTAATCATTTGCTTAAGAGCTTTAAAACCCCATTCTCCTTTATCTCCTCCTTCCAATTCAAGAACCTTCTGGAAGCTGACAAGAGCAGCTTTTGGCTCATCCTCTTTGAGCGCTTTGCTGTTGTAATACTGGTTTTCAAGATCAACATCTGGTTCTGAATTACTGTCTTCTGAATATTCCTGTGTCATAGGCACATATATGTTTAATAAATTTGTAATCAGACATGCAAATAATGTAAATCTCTTTTGTCAACAAAAAATTTACATATAGGCACTTAAAAATAAAAATAAAAAGAAACGATTGATTCGAACATTAAATGTGTTTATTTCACAAAGTTTTTTAGGACCATAAATGGTATACTTGTATAAAACAAACAGAATATCCTACACAATGATTTAGGTTATAAAAAATTCAATGAAAAGATTTGTGCCATACCCGTTGATAGTATTTAGGATACTCGAACTCCGTAAAGAGGATGACAGAAATATCATAACAATATGCTTTAAAAATTTCATGTTACAACGCAATACGAATGCTTAACCGAAATGATAGTCAAAATCAAAAGTGCATACAAAATATTTGACCTACCAAACCATAGTCTTCTTCTTCTTCGCACATATAATCATCGTCATTATCCGACATTTTTGGGCAGTTTGTGTGGCTTGAATATAATTTATTACACTGGTATATTTCAAAATATTATTGATGTGTGTACTTTTGTATTTTTCATTGACAGGGATGAAACGGACAGTGACAATCAAGTGACAGTGTTCAATTTGTGTGACCAGAAATCAGATGTGATGAAGAGGCCAGATGCGACGCCACAGTAATTTAATTTACCATATAGGTATTGTGTTTTTAGATGTGTAGAAATCTTTGATACATTACAATTCTATGAACATTAAATGACGATTCAAAATAATATCTGTAAAAAAATCCAATAAATTTCTCCGTATCAAAATTATTTTGTTTGAGATAGTTTTTATTTTTGTTTAAGTTACCGTGAGTTTTCACTGCCAAAACAATTGTGCAAAACAATGTTATCAGTATTTTTAAGAGAAGAAAAGTGATAAACATGAAATGACAATTAAAAAATATTTCGGCAGAAAAATCCAGTCACGTTGTCATCTTTAAAAAAAAAACCTCTTCTGGGATTGGCGGGGTGACTGACGAATGGCTTTACTGTATGTTAAATTAATTTCGCGGGATAATTTCTGTTTTTTATGAACGGATTAATGGTATGGAATAATTTATTTTCTTTAATGAGAGCATTGAATTCTAGCATTAATTTCAATATTTTCTAAGTTTTTTTTCTATTTTAAATTAGTTTTGGGTCAAGAAAATGAACTTTATTTTGTTAGGGAGGGGATCACCATTTAGCGCCATTCATTGAAAAACTTCAAATGTCAGACTTGTTCGAAATCTTGGAAAAACTTGGGAGCTTCGTGAATATTTTGCCTAATTTTTGTTAATATGAAGATATTTTTAAGTTTTAATTTTTAGAATATAATTAAAATAAAGTTTAGGTGTAAAATTGATCGTAATTTTTGATTTAAGGATAAGTAAAAAAAGCTTTTTTTAATGTTTGGAACGGTTTTGGAATGTTTGGTTTCAGAACACACTTAGATTTCCCGCCGTTATAAAATGTGTCAACAAGTTTAGATTTACCGTGGCTCCATTTTACAGGCATTTTTCTGGTGAAATTGGCGGAGGTTAGCCGCTTTTGACATTTATATTTAAAATAAGTTACTAACTTCTTTAGAATGGCTAACGCCTTTGACAAGGAAAATGTTTTCGACGCAATGACGAACGTTCATATTAAGGTATGGCAGTTTTAATTTTTAAAACGTAGTTTGTGTCCCGGTTTTTTCCAGTCTAACTTCTATGTCTTTTTTTTTATATTTACAGTCGCCCGTAAAGAACGTTTTGGCTACGCAGAATGGAAACGTTGTTCAGTTCAATATGGATGTGGAAAAAGAAGATACGGACAAAGTAGCGGTATTTGATCCAGAATTGGAACCACTGTTGCGTGAAAATCCTCGGCGTTTCGTCATCTTCCCCATCCAATATCCTGATATCTGGCAAATGTACAAAAAGGCAGAAGCTTCATTCTGGACAGTGGAGGAAGTTGATCTATCCAAGGTCCTAATTTTTTTTTTTTTTTTTTCATTTCTGTATATAAGAATGTTGTATATTTAATTGAATCAATATATCATTGTCACCAGGATTTATCAGATTGGGAAAGTTTAAAGGACTGTGAGAGGCATTTTATAAAACATGTCTTGGCGTTTTTTGCTGCCTCCGATGGTATTGTTAATGAAAATCTGGTAGAGCGATTTTCACAAGAAGTTCAAATTGGTGAAGCAAGGTTCTTTTACGGATTCCAAATTGCTATGGAGAATGTACACTCTGAGATGTATTCATTGCTGATAGATACTTATATCAGAGACCCTAAAGAAAGGTATTATTATTAACTTTATATTTTGCCTTATAGAGTATTAATCATTAATTCCTATTCATTGTACTGTTTTCCAATGGCTAGCTAGCTTGGGTGTTGCTAGGACTTGTACAGTAAAAACATTGGTACATTAGTATTACTTGTTTGCAGAGATTTCTTGTTCAATGCCATTGAGACTTTACCTTGTGTGAAAAAAAAGGCAGACTGGGCATTACAATGGATCGCCAGCAAGACAGCAAACTTTGGAGAGAGGATAGTTGCATTTGCGGCTGTAGAAGGCATCTTCTTTTCCGGAAGTTTTGCATCAATATTCTGGTTGAAGAAGCGTGGCTTGATGCCCGGTTTGACCTTCAGCAATGAACTGATTTCTAGGGATGAGGTAAATGTGACTAAATTTAATTGATTGAAAAGTATCAATATTAAACATGAATTGAAGCCTGAACTCAATATCATAGGTTAGGTCAAATGTCATTATTATTGCTATAAAAGTACTACAATCAATACATTGTACTATATGATAAGTTACAATTATATTCCATTAACTGTTGTTTACTCTACTTATAATTTGTTAGTCATGGGTAACTCCAAATAGATGACCTGCAGATCAGGCTTTAGCTTGGCTCAGTTTGTGCCTTCTTAAGGTTATGATTAACTGTCAGGAAATTTGTGATTCTATTGGTTCACACAGATTTATTTTATTTATTTATATATACATTTTTACAAATGCAATAATTAACATGCAGATAATTTGTCCTAATTAAATTAATTAACGCCGTTAGCGTAGGTTTTTTAATAATCATTGTATAAAAATATTTTTCCTGCTGTTTTCGATGCCCACGATACAGGCATTGCCTAGTGTGGGCATCACCAGATCAATCCCATTTTAACCACTATTTGTATATATCTTTTAATTGGTTATAACTGTTATTGTTAATTGTTAATCTGTTATTTTTCAATAAATTATTTCAATTATAGGTTTAAATAACATGCATAGAATTATGATCAGATAGTAAAATCATGTTGAACCATAGGCTGCTAAGTTATTTGTTGAACAACAACTCAACTGATCAAATCTATTAGACTGTTAAATTGATTAACACATGTCTAGAATTTGTACAGTTTGGAAATTACCTATGCCTCAAGTATTTTTATGTAGAAAAATGTCAATGACTTTTTGACTCTGAAATCCCACAATAAGTACTGATAATAAATATAGGACAAATGATAAATTATCAATTCTAAGTAAGGGTAACAAGTCCTAAGTTATATCTCTCAAGTGTTTAAGTAAATCTAATATTACCTACATAGTTATAATATTGTCTTGCATCATTTGATGTAGGTGATTATGCAAATAATATTCAATGTTTTTATTTATGCAAGATTTATCTATAGTAGTATAGTATATATATATAGTATAGTATAGTATAGTCTATCTGTTAATCTGTCCATTTGGTGCACCTAGAGAGGTAAGCAGAGAACCCTGACCTTTTATGGACTTATTTTACTGAACTGAGTGGTAAAGTATGACAGGGACAGCCCCAATAAATACTGCATTATTCATTTTAATATAACTATTGTTTTAAGTGTGGGTTAAACAGGAAATTGCTATCTCTTTGACTGGTAGATCTGGTACACAAACAAAACACTCTCATTGATAAGCACTAGGACTGTTATCTATTAGTTTTGTTAAAATATTGCATTAAAATATCACATTTAATCGCAGGGTCTGCACACGGACTTCGCATGCCTGATGTTCAAGCACCTAGTGCAGAAGCCGAGCAAGGAGCGCGTGCTGCAGGTCATCAAGGATGCGGTTGCTATTGAGCAGGAGTTCCTGACTGACGCGCTGCCTGTACGGCTCCTCGGCATGAACTGTGAACTTATGTCGCAGTACATTGAGTTTGTTGCTGACAGACTGCTTGTGGATCTGATTGGAGAGAAGGTAGTTTGCAACAATATTGATTTAATTTACTTTAATTATAATACTTGTAATGTTGTCACATATATATAAATGCGGGTGTAAGACAATTCCATTATAAGTTATGGGAATTTTCCAGTAACTTAAGTTCATGACTTGCAGGTTCACATGTGTGAAGATTAGTTAACCATACCAACTTAGCTCAGATCAAAATGTTTCTGCATAGAATTATTTGCATTCCAAGCTAAGTTATAGAGCACTAGCTTACGCCCGAGACTCCGTTCGCGCTAAATTAAAAAAAAAACTAAAACATCTGTCTATACCAAATTTCTTCCGAAATCCGTTTAGGCTACAAACTCTAACAAATATCCATCCATCCAAACTTTCGCATAATATTAGTAAGATTGTGTTATGCAGTGAGCTGAAAATTTGGTTGTAGAGTAGCAGGTCAACTTTTTTTCGTAAGTTAAAATATTGTGATACTTATTCAATTTTTTTTTCAGTTCTATAACACAAAGAATCCATTTGACTTCATGAATCTGATATCATTAGAGGGTAAGACAAACTTCTTTGAGAAGAAAGTGGGAGAGTACCAGAAGTGGGGGGTGATGGCCAACAGAATGGATAATGTGTTCACATTAGATGCAGAGTTTTAAATTTATATTATTTAATAAGCTAAATAATTAGTTTGACAGTATTATGGATAACATTCACAATATAAATGTTTAATTAAATCCAAAGGCAGTACTAAACAGCACTTAATTTTTGAGTTTGTAGAAAGTTGCATTTGACAGTAAATTGGCCTCTTAACTTAAATAACATTTTCCTGTTAAAGATTATAAATTTTCTTTATATAAATGATTTATAGAATGGTTAAGTAAATGTAATGGCTTGTTTCTTTAATATTTTTTACAGCCCAGTGTTGCGTAGCCTTATGAATAATTAATAACAAGATGTAAAATATAAGTAATATTTTAGCTATTTCTTTTGACAGTGCTCGAATGTGCTCGCATTTTTATATATATTTTTAATTTAAATTATGAATAGTTTATTATTAAGCTTAGATTGTTTGATGAGTGTCAAACAGTGATTTGAACTGATCCTATAATTTAATATAGTTTTGTAAAGCGCGTATAGATGTTTAATGTAATGATGAAATCATTGATAATATGATGTATCATTGGAAGTTGTGATATAATTTTTTTAATAAATGATTTCTATGAAAAACATGTTTTATTTCAATGATTTTTTACTATTCACAACAATCTCTTTATTCATAAACAGTACTAATATGAAAGATTCTTAATGTGGAAATAAAAATAAAAACATATAACAAAATCACTTTTATTCATTAAATTATAATTCTAGGACATACCAATCTTAATAATGGATATTTTTTTGATATTTGCGCTGTTCAAATTTAGTATTGGCTTACTTTAGACAAACATACATACATAACCTTAAAATGACATTGCAGTTACAAACATTACTTTAAGGTTTTCCAATTCTCAACGACATTGACACCAAAATAAATGTAACAATTTTCACAAATAAGACACTATTTAATAGGAAAATTCTCTACACCTCACATCTGACACAACACAATTTATAAATAAAACAAACAAGGACTTCGTGCAAATTCGAACGTAAAATTCTTACATTTCAGCATTAAACAAATTATATTTGGAGATTTAAACTATTGAAAATACATATATATTGTAGATGTGCATTCAAACTAGTAAATATTTATATTTATAAGAGTGTGTGTCAGTTAGCGCGTCTTGTCTTGCGCGAGTCTGCGCAGCAGCCGCTGTCCGGCGAGGAAGGTGAGCAGCGCGAGCGGCGCCAGGTAGCGCAGCGTCGCGAACATCGACAGCTGCAGCCACAGCAACACGTACAGGCACAGGGAACCTGCACACAACCACACTATTGTACCAACATTCATACTACTAAGAGTCAATTTATTGAATTCAAACATCATTTTATCTCGGCAACTAAAGGTTTATTTTTACTTTTAATATGTGTACGGGCCAAATAATAATAAAATAATACTGGAATGATTTTAGAATTCTTTCGCCAATTAAATTAGTTTTTGAACTCTGCATAGTCACGCGAAAAACCTAATCTTAATATCATAAATGTCAAAGTTTAGATGGATGGATGTATGAGTTTGTGGCCTAAATGGCTTAATGGATGTCGATGAAATTTGGCATAGATGTAGAGGATAATCGAGAAGAACACATAGGCCAGTAGTCTTTGTTTTTTTGTTAGCTAGTTTGTTATACAGTTTGTTTATGTTTATGTATAGTTTGTTATATACAAACAGATAGTTTGTCATAAAATGATCGAATCAAAGTAAAATTTGCATGTGGTCAAATGATTGTTATAGTTAGTGAAGTACCTCCTAATGCGAGGTGGAAGAGCAGC